CGTTCTCGAGAAAATCGCTAACCATGAGAGCCAAATCATGTTCGCTCTCGTGGCTAAAAGCTCTTCCGATCTGCCCACCAATCCCCCTCACCCACCAATCCCCTGTTGCCGTCGCCGCACTCATCAATCCAGAACAAGACAACTTCTCCCCTTTTTATGAATATTATTGTTGTTATTATTTCACAATCACAAAAATTATGAAAAATAGTAAACGAAACATGGAATCGGTAAGAAACTTTAATTTGTTTCTATGCACACAGAAACGCGATGCAAATATGACGCATTTCTGGAATCAAAACGGTGTTGCGATCATAGAAACGAAGAACATGGTGGCCGTTTTGATGTTGTTTGGGAAGATGGTGGAGGTAGGGCGGGAAGGGAAAGATATTTTTTATTTTATCTTCCTGTATTTTATGGCGTGCAGCTAAAACCCGGCAGGCAGAGAGGAGGGAGGAGAGAGGGAAGAGGAATTAGGGAGAAGGTGCCAGAGAGACAGTAGGAAAAATATGAAGAGAGGGATGGAGATGGAATTACTGAAACAACCTTAGGATAATAACAATAATAATTTTCTTAATGGTCATGTCAGTCCTCTGACTTCAAGGACAAGGATGGGAATTACAGTGCTTTGGTCGTTGTTTGGAGTTGTGATTATTTATTGGTTCGGTTCTGTTCTGTTGACAGTGCAGTGGGGAGTTAGGTGTAAAAGGGAGGAAATATTGAATAATTCTCTTCAATTATTATTTTCAAGGGATTCAATGAAGAGCCTCGTGCCCCAAAATGCGCTGGCACATTAGTTGGATAAGGTTAGGACTACAAAATCAATCTAGGCTGGCTCTCGCATTTCAATTTTGTTCTTTGTTCAACATGGAGTCGTTCCAATTTGCTGTGTGGAACCGGTCTTTACCTGCCCAATAATCCACTACGATGTTAAATTTCCTCAACAAATAAATCCTTCAAGTGTTACTACATGCATAAACCTTTGATATTTCAACTTTTCATGAAATTTAATTTCTTGAAACCTACTAATTATGTCATCAAGCTAGAGAAGTCTGTTTTAAATTGTGTTTTTGTGTGTTTTAAGAGTATATTTATATATTAAATTAATAGTTTTTAGTGTTTCTGAGTTTAAACACATTTTTTATTAAAAATATATTAAATTAATTATTAAAAATATTTTTTAATAATTTTAATATGTTAATATAAAAAAATAAATGTATTTTAAAAAAATACATGCAGCAAACTACATAACAAAAACGATGTTGCGGATAATAAAAGAAATGGGCAAGAAAGTATGATGGTTTTGCAAAACAACAGTATCTGGGCACTCGTGACCCAGTCGCCAAGCAACTTTATGTGACGGGAGATTAAATAAAAAGTAATCACCGTCACTGCCAAAAGGGCAAATGACGTGAGTTTCACGGATAGCTTTCTCTCACGTCAGCGGCTTAGCATCCCATAATTGACGGTGATTTGGCTGTTCTTCTCCTGTATCCGCTACCCTGGTAATTTATTAGACTATTTTCAAAAGTAATTTTTATTTAAAACTATATTAATTTTATTTTATTTTTAGAATGAGTTAATAGCTGGAATTTTCCTAGTTTGAGAAGAAAATACTGGAACTTCGTAGAGATGCTCTTTTTTTTTTTTTACAGATATTACAAGAGGAGCATAAAAAGAAAAGAAGGTTCCCGCCATCCCATGACCTCCATAAACGAGCCACACGCGGTGGCGGGTCTCCGGTGGGGCCACACGCTCGCTAGCAGCAGCTGTCTCTTTAAAGAGGATAGGACACTTGCCACTTCCGCAATTAATGAAAGGCCAGAATTTCACCACCCAGATCAAGCTTTAAAAAGGTGATCGGTCAATTAAATTAAAAAAAAAACCTAAAAGTTATAGATTGGAATATTGTGACTGGATATACTATAATATTTATTGGAAAACTGTAATGAAGCTTTTTAGTTTCTTCTCAAAACTGACAAAGCTTGTAATTATACTCGGCCTAGTCATCTTTTAAAGGCGATTTATTAAATATTACAAGAATGATCGGATATAAATTCATCCACACGTATTTCTTCCGCAATTAAATAAATTAAATAACTTTGTTGCCGTTAAAATATAACTTTATTCCAGTAGTCTTTTTCTTCTTTTTACTATTACTGCGCAGTAAACTTACACTGTTGCATTTGAAAACAAGATACCATTAAACTTGCACACGAGATTTTTATTTTTATTTTTTGTGAAGTTATAGGATTGTTGCAGGGAAGTAGTTTTTCTGAAAAAAATGGTTTTTTTAAAAAAATAAATTATTTTTTGATATTTGATAATATCATAAAAAATAAGTTAAAAAACTTAAGGTTTGGTTATGTTATGAAAAATAATTTATTAATATTTTTTAAAATGTATTAAAATAATAAGAAATAAATCTTACAAATTAAAAAGTTAAATAAAATTAAAATTAAAAAAATACAATTTCATAAATTATCTTAAATAAAATAAATAATAATCAAAATAATAAAGATTAAATCTAACAAATAAGAAAATTAAAAGATTATAAAATTAAAATAATTATAATTATAATTTCATAAATTATTTTTAATAAAACAAGTATCAATTAAAAAAATGATAAGAAAAAAGTAAATAACAATCATAAAAATAACTGTTAATAATTTTTTAAAATTATTAAACATCCCTGGAAAGAACCAGATACCCCGATAGTGAAATGCGATTGCTGGGAGGAGTGCCCGTGCATCTTTTGCCAGGTTGTGGTGGTCTGTTCCTTTTATCCCCTTCGTACCAGATTGGGATGAATTTTGAATCAATCACCTTGAATAAAAACAATTTGAAAAAGCAGGTGCTGTACGTGTATTTATATCACCATGGAATATCTTTCAAGCTCGTGCTTTTCTTTCCTTTTCTGAACCATATGCGAGCTATGTCGGAAGGAAACATGTATAATTCATATAATTGGTAGGAAACCAAAAAAGTGCCATACATTACGCGACAAACACCATTGCTTGTTAAATTACTACAAAACCGTAATTGCTTATTTTGAGTATTGGTTGGTCCTGAATTTTTCTTCCGTGACTTTAAATTATCGTGGCTTCAATTAAATTAAATTAAATTTATTTTCAATAACTAAATTACATAAATAAAAAACAATTTACTTGCTCTTATACAACAAAAGAGTGAAATTACCGATGGCTAGAAATTATTACAACATTCACCGCTGGTTCTTGCCAGGCATGGCCTCTGGACCAATTCTAAGCGTCTCAAAATGCTAAAAAGTCTGTCTTGGAAAAGTGATATACCTATTCCTCCCCATGTTGGAACCACAAACTGCAATGGAGTTTGAGTTGTGCGATAAAAAATTATTTCCGGCCTCTCCTCTCTTTGGGAATCTAATCATTAATAAACGGGTCAGCCTTTAAGGAGAATCTAATTATGGCTTAGTTGAAAATGAGGAAAAAGGAGAATGAATAATAATAATTTTTTGAAACAAAAGAATCCAATAATTGTCATAAACAATGGTGTAAGGGATAATAAATTACAAGGGAGGCTAGCATTATATATTCAACTAATTTCTGATGGTGCAAGGGATGAACAATATACTATAATTTTTCGACCTGCCAACCAATTTTACTATACTTGGGGATTCGGTGCAAATTGAAAATCTCCAATGGCCCAGTCAAACTCCTCATGGTTCGAAACATTAGAGCCATTCATTTTTTACTTCATCAAGCTTTTCTAGATCCTATTTTACGTCACTTGGAGCATTAGATGCCTGTCTTTGTAAAACTAGCCTAAAAGGCTGGCCATCAAACAGCAGTTCTAGAAACTATCGGCAGAACCATGCTACTTTCTTTAAGTCATCAAACAAAAGTTCAGAACAGGAAAACTGAAGGTGTATTTATAAATAAAATACAGTCAATCATAAGGCATCTACGTAGCTATACAATGACAGCAATTAACACTATTGCCTCCCAACTGGTAGCGAGCACATATTTTTTTTAGCACATGTAAGATATGAAAAGGCAATTGGTCATGAAAAACAATGTCTTCTGAAAAGCAACTAAGAATTTCCAAGAAAATGAGCTTTTTCTATATATAAAAAAAAAATTTGAATTTTCATGAATAACAAACATCAACCTTCCAACATTTACTACTTTTTCTAAGCTATTTTAGCCCAAAAGAAAAAAAAAAACGTTTCATCTCAAATTAAGCTTTGAATCGGTTCAAAATATGGCATCTCTTTCCAGAGAAAAACGCTTGACTAAAAATAAAAATAAAAACCAAATTAGCATTCAAGCAACTTCCATAAAATAATCTAGAAGTCCAATAATAAAACCACAATCAGTCATTTCATAACCCATGGTTGTTTGAGAATTCGGAACAAAATCATAAAAAATTTACCACGCCATATGAAAACTATCCTTATGCCCCCTCCGTCAGACTCTAGATTCAGTTATGTGTAATATGCTAACTAGATAGAGACCTATGACCAGATTTAGCACGACAAGGTTGATTAGGGAAGCATGCAAACCTAATTCAAATTTCACACTTCCTAATATGCACTGGATTCTTCTCTATCAAAGCCTCCCTTCTATCACATTTTCACTGCAAGGTTTGATCTCTGACAAATGTAGTTATTTTCATCTAAAGATCAAGAAATTCACATCCCAGAAAATCAATTTGCATGCATTACTGAATAGCATTTCCTTTTACGAAGGTATACATGTAAACTAAGATCCAGAAATGCACTCCACCCAAAATCTTTGGATAGATGTGAACATGGAGGGAGACTGATGGATTCTACATGTCGAGGAAACTTCACAGATTATTGTGCCTCATTTGGGGGGGGGGGGGGGC